CTAGTTGTCATGACAACCATCATTCCATAATCTACTTTTGACAAAAAAACTACTGCTTGAGTAGCCATCTGTTTCTTGAGTTGATTGGTACTTGATTTTTTAAAAGAAGCAAGTTGCATAGTAGAGACTTTTTCAGAACTTGGAGAAGAAGCATCATACAAAGGATTTTGATAGAGGGTTAGGAAAGTTTGCTCATACAATTTAGTAAGAGCTTCTATCTTTCTTTGAGTGCCATATGGATGTGTTGGAACATCCGTGCTTGATGATGAAGTAGGAAAGATTGTAGGATTTGCTTGAGCAGGCTTGGCAATAGGTTTACCGACAAGATTCTTTTTAGAAGCCATTACACTTTAGAGATATTTGGAGATTTGTTTGAAGAAAGAAGATAAGAGGCATATATTGTCTCATTGGGTGCACCACAAATTTGTACAAAGAAATTTTTGATCAAAATTTCTTGACTTGAAAATTATAGGATAAATACAAATATTTGATAATGTGAGTGATAACCTTTGGAAATTTCTCTAATTAATTTCTTCACTTTGTCTTCAAGAGTCACGAACTTGGACTTAGTCTTGATCACGAACTTGCTTGATCTTCATTTCAAGGGTCTTTACGACTTAATCTTGATCACAAACAATTGATATCTTCGCTTCAAGTTTCACTTCAAGGGTCTTCATGACTTAATCTTGATTACGAACACTTGATATCTTCGCTTCAAGAGTTTTCACGACTTAATCTTGATCATAAACACTTTATCTTGATCACAAATTTCATTTTCGCTTGATCACGAACTTCGTTGCTGCTTGATCTTTACTTCAGAAATTCTCTACTTTTCTTGATCTTGGAATACCTCCCAATCTTCGAATGCTTCCGAATGAATGAAAATGGCTTGGAGGAGCTCCCTATTTATAATGCTAAATGGGAGACTTTGATGAGAATGTAGTCTTTTTAAATTATTTTAATTTATTTAGAGATAAATTATGATGACTCATTAAAAGTATTTTGATTGGCTAGACTTTGAGTCTTTGAATTTTGATTGGCCGAAGTTA